CAATGGGGGCAGTTCCCTCAACATTGCATCAACTACTGCGGTTCCCAACAGAACATGGGATTGAAGAAGTTAGAGGGGATCAACTGCAGGCGGAGAATTGCTCCATGGCAGCAATAAAATCTACCTGCAGCATTCGAGAACCAGAGAAGGCAGAGATTGAAAACGAGGACATAGAGGACCTAGATGATGTCGGCAAGGAGCCAGCCAAGAAGAGTGAAGAGGCACTGAATAAAATCCTCATCCAGGAAGGGGATAAAGAACGCTTCTTTCTTCTCAAGCTTAGCCGAAGAAGAAGAAAGAGAATTTGAAAGCTTGTTTGAGAGCAAATATTGAGGTATTTGCTTGGACACCTTATGAAATGCCTGGCATTGACCCCGAGGTCACATGCTACAAATTGAACGTCGACAGGTCGGCCAAACCTGTAATCCAACGAGCAAGAGGGCCAGCGTTGATGCACGCCGAAGTAGTAGAGGAAGAAGTAGATAGGCTTCTGGAGCTCAGGGAAATCCGAGGAGTCAATTACCCGACATGGCTATCAAATACAGTGGAAAAAGGAATGATAATCAAGGAGCAAGGGATGTTAACATCGGCCAACAACAGATATTTTTCAGAAGCAAAAAAGGTGACATATGCAAAGAAAACAAAAGTACAAAGATGAAGACCCTAAGAACTAGGGACTAAGGCAAGAACGTCAGACTAATCTACTTCAAACGGTTGACGGTGGTTCAGCATTAGCAATCAGCTGGAAGAGCTTCTCTACCACTATCTCGGCAACAATTTCAAGAAGGGACATGGTTCTAAGAATATGCGAAAAACAGAAACGAAGGCAAGAATCTGGAAGTACAACGAGAAAAACAAGAAGAGAAAAAACAGAAGTCAAGAAGATGACAAAGTTCAAAAAATAAAGCCAAGTACACAGGCACTAAGTAAGTATGTGAAGAACAAAAAAGTAATGAACCAGACATGATGCTAGCAACAGAAAGCGGATATGACAAAGAACAGTTCCAGGCATTTTAGCAATAAGAAATCAAAAACTTGAAGACAGACGAGAACAGAAGGCCACAGATGGCAAATAAACAAATTCAAAGTAAATCAGAAGAGTTTTGAAAGATTGAGCTTAATAAAAAGTAAGAATTTATGAACCTACCAAATGAACGCCGATATGAAAATCGCCGGAGTCAAATAGATGACTGGAAATCGGGAACTCACCAGAGAGTGTGAGTGGAGCAGTTGCAAAGCTCTTGGAATTTACGAATTAATGGAACCAGAACCTCGACTAGGAGGTGCGATTTCAAGCAGCTTGGAAAGCATGAAACTTGATTCTTGACACCAGTGGACAGTAAAGTCCAGGGAACTTTGAGGTCGGCAAGTTTGATCTCGGACAGAGGGGCACAGATGAACGAACAATGTAGGTTCCATCACCTCAGAATGCCAAGGTAATAGAACCTAGGGGGCAGTTGTGGGGATATATTTTCTGAGTACCAACACGTGGCAAGGTGACACCGACGTGTCAGCCGAGGTGCCACGTGTCTTGGTCGTTGTGCCGAGGTCATCTCGGCTAGGCCGAGGTTGCCTCCGAAGATATCGGAATCCGAGATAAGCGGATAAGGGACAAGAGTCCTAGAATGAAGAGGGAACTCAACTTGGATATGGACAAGAGTCCTAGATTGGGAGAAGACTTCAGTTTGGGTAACGATAAGACTCTTAGAGAGTTTATCCTAATCCCACTGGGAGTCCCAGATTAGCAGTAATCCTAAGTCCATTAGGGCCAGGCTCCTATTGGGACTAGGATTGTATTGGCTATAAAAGAGAGGCACCTCCATGAGTCTAAGGTATGCTTTTGATACTCAAGCTTGTGAGTTTAGTACTTGATTTATCTTTGAGAGATATACTGACTTGATCGTCGGAGTGCCCCCGGGTGGTCGAAACCACCGCGGGATTCTTATATTTCTGTTGCAGGTCAGTCAGGTGCCATCTATTCTGCCAGTGCTCTCCAGCTGGTTACTAAGCGGGCAGTGTGGTCGGAAAATCACCCACACACATTGCTAGTAAAAACAATGGAAATCAACACATGCATATTAGCCCCATCTAGTGAGGACGTTATGTAGATGCCCTGACCACGTGCAATTTTGGATGAATTCTTGTCAGGGCTTTGTGTTATTTGATCATCAACGACATAAGTGGTTCCAAAACTGTCGAATGCCCAGATGTTGCCAGGAATTCTAGTAAGTTTGTTCACTGTGGCATTAGGGCCGGCGTAGTACTCTTGGAAGTAGAGTGTCATGTTGGTTTCTATGAAATGGTAGTCATAGGCTTGTGAAGATGCAAATATGACTAGAAGGATGAGGAAAGACAATTTGGTGAGTGTTGCAATTGACTTTGGTGCCATTGGGAGGTGATCGATAGCTACTAACTCAATAACCAATGGCTAAGGCAATATAATGAAGGGTTTTTGTATTTTTTAATGATCTGTTGGTGTAATAGCCTCTATATTTAGAGATAGAGAGAGAGAGAGTTCAGCAATAAAAAAAAGAATTATTTATACATAAAATTGATAAAAAAAACTTTATAAGAATGATATGTAAATATTATTATAAATAAATAACTGTTTAACATAATAAAAGGTCTAGCTAACAAGTACTCGAAAGACACTAGTTAAAGCATAATAAATACAGTTAAAATATTGAAAAAATTCATAATAAATGCAATTAGGTATTAAAAGAGGAGAAATGTTATGTATCCCAAATATTTTACCAAATATTCCATCAAATCTCTCACATAGGGTGAGACTCACACAAATCCACGTGTGTGTAGGTCCCACACCCATGCAAAAGGTTTGGTAGAATATTTGGAGTCCCTAGCATAACTCTTAAAAAAGCCCACCATGCATTACTTATTTCTATTATTTTAATGCTAATCATAAATACTTACAATATACTTTAGGTCAAACTTCATTTTACTCTACATGATTTGGACCATGTGTGGTTTATTCCTTAACGTTTAGAAATGATCACATAATCCCTACATAGTTTGTGGTTTGAAGTGCACAATTAAACATTTTATCTAACTTAACAGTACTTGTGAAACACATGACAGATATAAGGGGGTTATAGGCTTATTTTTAAATGTCAAAAGGGTAAATCGCACATAGAATAAAACACACACTACAAGCATTAACACTTTTGCCGACCAAAAAATTGTTCGCTAAAAGCCTATTTTTGGTCGGCAAAAGTTATCCGCGACCAATTTTTTTGGTCGCTACTTTGGTCACCAATTGAGGGTCGGCAAAAGTAGTTCGCGACCAAAATTTTGGTTGGTCGGGAAAAGTTAGATTTGCCGACTAATTTTTTGGTCGCTAAATATATCATTACTACGACTAATTCATTTAATCGCTAAAATACTTTGGTCGCGAAAAGTGATATTTTCCCGACCAAATATGTTTGTCGCCAAAAGCAAAAAATCGGCGACCAACTGTTTTTGTCGCCAAAAGTTAAGAAATCGCCAACTAATAATTTAGTCGCCAAAAGGTAAGGAATTGCCGACCAATGATTTTAGTCGCAAAAATGTAGAATTTGGCGACCAATTATTTAGTCGCCAAAAGATATTAAACAATCAACGACTAATTAGTTAGTCACCAAATCTCGTTTTTTTTTTTTTTTTTTTTCAACAATCAATTTTTGTTTATAAACATTCAATCCAATATTGAACAAAATTCATTCAACCCAACCCAAATATAACATTAAAATTCATCATATTTTCCTGTTGAATCCCAAACTTTACAATCATTCCATTCAAAACATTAATTGAGACAAGTTTTAAACATCCATCCATTGAAAACCAATAAGTAATTGAACAAAAATTAAAAGGAAAATCAATGAAGGAATCCAAAAAAATCCTAAAACTTGAAGGAATATATATGGTTTTGAAGCATTAGCCTTGTGCTTGATCGTTCTTTTCACCAAGCATCAGCCTTGTGCTTGATCAAGCAAAGAGACCTTTTCCCATACTCCCCATGTCCATTGCAATTACCAGTTGCGAACGCTGTCCAATATCTTCCAATGCTCTGACCATTAATCCATACTTGACCTTTTCCCATACTCCCCATGTCCAAAGCCAGAGGCTCGTCTCCGTCAGGTGCATTGAAATAAGCCTGCAGTGTTGGAAGACAGATTAAACTCGTAATGCCAATGAATCATTTCCCTATACATACTTAAATTGAGTCTTTCTTAAATTTATTTTAAATTTTATATTCTTTATATACCTTATGCCATGTTAATAGAAACAAATAAAATAGTTTTAAATAAACTAATTAGTATCAAAGGAACAATAAAATAGAAACAAATACAATCCCAAGTTTATAGTTTTTATTCTTCCCACCTCCAACATCTTATTAATCTTGCATGCAAGCATGGACGCACACATGGCATACATAACTAATACAATTTTAATTTAGTTTATTATGCAATCATTTGATGAATAAAACATAATGAAAATGCATAACCGATCAATTAATTAAGACATGCATACGTACCCATGAAGCAAAGGTGTTGGCATCATGTTCCTCGTAGCCAAGTGATCCAGGCATCCTTTTGTCACAAGTCAATGTCCTGAAAACAATAATACATAAATGGAACAATTTACAAGCTAGGGAATCCTTTTATTTGCATAAATAATACTCTTTCTTTTTGCTGATCAAAAAAAGAGAGAAGATATTGATAACATATGTTGGATTAAAGAATTAGTTATGATGAGTGAGGTTTTAGGACTATAAATAATCAGCTCTCATAAATTTTACAAATTACTGACATATGTTATCTTTGATGATCTATAATTTGTCAAATTCGAACTGTCAGTTAACTCTGTTACCCCGCATCAGCATAAATCCCAATCTTGAGCCCTTTGCTGTGGACATAATCTGCTAGAGTCTTCATACCAGATGGAAAAATTGTAGCATTTGGTACCAAGTTTCCCTGCATATATATATATATATATATATATATATAAGACAAATGCGGCCCAACATTGATATACGTATTATAGATGTATGTATTTCAATCTTCTTCTAGTATATATTAGTGCATATATATATATATATATGTATGTGTGTATGTGTGTGTGAGAGAGAGAGAAATTAATTTAATCAAACCATCAAAAACTTTTGATATGTATATATATTTGAGATGCTTGATCAGAGTGAATTGTTGAGCATACACTTATGCTTGCTAGAGGCCATAGTTTTAGTTCCAACACCATCTAAACCACCAAGTCCTTTTGTTTTTAAAATTTTCTTATTTCTACTTACAATGAGACCCACCACCAACAGTGAGTATGGAGATGAAAAGCTAATCATTTCTCATATAAGTATTTTTAATTAGTTATTAAATACTCAGGATGTTATATAAGTATTTGTTCTTGCTATTTAATCATACATATATAGATATATATAATATAAATGTACAAATAATAATGGATGCAAAAGACTTTATATAGATTATTGATTTGTACCTTAGAGTCTCTGTTCAGTTCAGCCCAACAGTCGTCTGTTTAATTAAAATTCAAACGCACAAATTAACAAAAGACGTTAATACTTGTTGGATTATATAAATTAATTTTACTTTCTTTCAAAATTCAGAAGAAGAAAAAAACCCAAAAAAACTTGCCCAAATTAATGTACTCATATCCCAAGGCTGCTAGCCCAATAGAAACCATTGCATCCGCTGTGAAAGAAGAAAATGTTGTTCAAATTATGAAATTAAATAAATAGATTTATGAAGAAATCAAATTATATACCAAGAACATATGCTTATAGTCACAATTAAATTTCAACAGAAATACACAAAACAATAAAAGGGTAAAGAGACGAAACCGAAGCCTGCACGGAAGCAGTTTCCTTAAAACAGATTTCGCCGCCTCACGGGTCGAGTGCTTGAGGAAACCTGGCGTCTGTCTCCCAAGATACGACGGTCAAAACCAGCTACGGCAGAAGCACTTTCTGTCTATCTTAGCGAACAAGAACAATGGCAGCACTCTCTCAATGTAGGAACTTTCTAGCAAACTGACTTGTAAAATGGAAGCAAAAAAAATTCTATCTTGAAACTTGATAGGAGGGTCTCAATTTATACATGTAAAGGGGAGAGAAAAAGAGCCTCCAGCCTTTAAGGCTAGTCATTAAAACACCAAGCATCCATAGCCCCTTTCCAAAAATATGAAAGTTTGGATGCCCAAAGGATTCACACCCTTTAGCCAAGAAAAAGGATTTAAACACTCTTTAAAATCCTATTCATGAATCTAACATCATGAGGCAATTTCTTGGCAATTTCTTATTCAAAACCCAATGATTTTTGGCTCACTTGGACCTAACACAATAAAAGGTTGGGACCCACTTTAATATTTAATTAAAGTCACCACACTTTAATATTAAATTAAAGTCACCAAAAATCATTTTTTCCAACATTCCCCCACATGAATAAAAATTGACTGAAAGACTCAACAAACGGACATCGTTCAATAATAATGACTCGAAGAGAGAGTACAACGAATTAACCCCGACATCAGAGAAGGTAGCTTTTGGCTTTGAACCTCTCCTAGTGAAAACCTATCGAGTTTACTGGCTGATCAATGAATAAGACATCTTGAACTGCTCTGCCGTTTATGTAAACTGAGACAATAGATCTCACACAGGAATTACTCCTACCACCATTCTGTTCTCACTGGTGTGCCCTGTGTGGCCCTAGACACTAGCCTGGTTCAGTGAGTGGTTTCAAAGAATCTTGGCCTGCCCAATTCTTCTAGAAGCGGCCCCACTTCGCACTTACATAGGTGACTCTACTTGAGTATCCTACAATACTCAACTCAACAGCTTAACACACTAGAGTCATTAAAAGCTCAACTTAACCTCTGCACTTGCAGGTATCACTGATAAAAGGAATGGCTGGAGCTTTAACCTCCTTAGTGACATCCCATTGAACCTAGATCTTGGGATCTCCAGTCAACTAGGTTGGGTTTCCATTCCGGTAACTTCCAAAGGCCTCAACCTCATTCCTTTTGACGACGTTTCGACTAACACTCGACTTAACCCTTTGGTTAGCGGATCCGCAATGTTGTCCTTAGACTTTACATAGTCTAAAGAGACAACTCCATTCGAGAGTAGTTGTCGTATGGAATTATGTCTACGACGGATATGTCTAGACTTTCCATTATACATATTACTCTGTGCCCTACCAATTGCAGATTGACAATCACAATGAATACAAATAGCTGGCACAGGTTTAGACCAACATAGAATATCTTCAATGAAATGGCGAAGCCATTCTGCTTCTTCCGTTGCTTTATCCAAAACAATAAACTCTAATTCCATCGTTGATCTAGATATACACGTTTGCTTGGAAGATTTCCAGGACACAGCTGCCCCACCAACAGTGAACACATATCCACTAGTGCACTTTGAGTCCTTAATATCTGATATCCAATTCGCGTCACTATATCCTTCAAGCACCGCTGGATATCGAGTATAATGCAGCCCATAATCCCGAGTGTAGCGTAAATACCTTAACACCTGCACAATGCCCTTCCAATGAGAAGCATCGGGATTACTTGTGTATCTACTAAGCCTGCTAACCGAGTAAGCTATATCCGGCCTAGTACAACTCATCAGATACATTAAACTTCCAATTACCCGAGAATATTCTAACTGTGAGACACTTTCATTATTATTCTAGGTAAAATATAGACATAAGTCTACAGGTGTCGATGACACACTCGTATTTGATCCACTAAACTTCTCAAGTATCTTATCAACATAATGAGACGGAGAAAGTACAATTCCGCCAGAGATTCTGGTAATCTTAATTTCCAGAATAACATCTGCAATGCCCATATCCTTCATGTCAAACTTAGAGTTTAACAACTTCTTGGTAGTTTTGATCATTTCATCGTTACTACCTATAATGTGCATATCATCAACATGTAGACACAAAATGACATAACCTCTGTCAGTGTCTTTAACATAAATACACTTGTCACATTCGTTGATTCTAAACCCATTTGACAACATTACATTGTCAAACTTTTCATGCCATTGTTTAGGCGCTTGGTTCAAACCATACAAAGATTTGACAAGTTTACAGACTTTCTTTCTTTGTCCTGGAGCTAAAAACCCTTCAGGTTGCTCCATGTAGATTTCTTCATTCAAATCCTCATTTAAGAAAGCTGTCTTTACATCCATCTGGTGTATTTCTAGATTGAGCAAAGCTGCTAACGCAATCACCATGCAAATGGATGTTATCCTAGTTATAGGTGAGTACGTATCAAAGTAATCCAGGCCTTCTCGTTGTCTGTACCCTTTGATAACGAGCCTCGCCTTATACTTGTCAAAAGACCCATCGGCCTTCATCTTTCTTTTAAAAATCCATTTGCAGCCTAAAGGCTTACAACCTGGAGGTAAATTTACCAACTCCCAGGTTTGGTTCTGTAAGATGGAGTCAATCTCACTTTTGTTCGCTTCTTTCCATCAAGGACTCTCAGGAGAAGTCATAACTTCGTGGAAAGTTTGAGGTTCGTTCTCAACCATATAAGTCAAGAAGTGTGGATCAAAAGACTTGGATATCCTAGCCCTTTTACTTCTTCTGGGCTTATCTAAAACCTCAATTTGATCATCACCTGAATCATCAACATGATCATCCTCACTAGCAAGCTCATCAAATTGCTCCAAAGTCCTTGGAACCCCTTCATGGGTTCGGCAAGGAAAAATGTCTTCAAAGAAACATGCATTCCTTGACTCCATGATGGTATTCCTGTGAATGTCTGGAATTTTAGACTTATGTACAAGAAACCGATATACACTACTATTATGTGCATAATCAATGAATATACAATCCACGGATTTCGGGCCTATCCTAACCCGTTTGGGTGTAGGAATCGCCACTATTGCAAGATACCCCTACATTCGTAAGAATTTATAAGAAGGCTTAACGTCTTTCCATAACTCATACGGGATTTTGTCTACTTCGCTTCAACACAAGTTTCACACTTGTGTTTCGTCAGAACAACCTTGTCGGACTCAAAAACCATACGAAAACATGTTTATTGAGAAGAGACCTTGAGACAAGATTCTTACGAATGTCCAGAACATACAAGACTTCGTTCAAGGTTAGCTCGTTTCCTGAGGTTAACTTTAGGACCATCTTTCCCTCAACAAATGAGGTAGTAGAGTTTCCCATAAACAACTTCTCATCGTTTATAACTGGTTCGAAAGTTGTAAACAGCTCCTTCTCGAAGCAGATGTGGCATGTTGCCCTAGTTAAACTAAAACCCCTCGCTACCACAATTATAGCACTTCCCAAAGAACCGATAACCAGGTTCCCGCGGCTTATGTGCCAGCTTCTTTTGCAACACCGCCCCTTGGTCCCAGCTTAGAGCCCTTGTTCACGAGGGGGCTTCTTCCTTACCCCAGAAGATTTGCCATGCTCAATGACATTGGCCTTCACTAAGGAGGTACTCCCTCATTTCTTTCTATTATCATCCTCAATTCGGAGTCGGATAATTAAGTCTTCTTTGTAGAATTTATGCAAAGTCTTAAACAAATCCTTGTGTCACAATGATTATGAAACTCTCAAAATCATATC